TTTACATTTTATTACTGTTATTCCTCTGCTCCTGGACAAGTTGATGCAAAATAAGGTATGTATAATTTTTAAAAACTTTAAATAGATCAACTTCAGAACATTTAACTGGGGCTTTGGGGTTTCAGACTATTCACTTAATTATACCTGTAAATCTCAGCAGCTATAGAGAATGATTTTTAATTGTCATGAAGTAAAAGATAATCTTAAAATGCTGTGGAATTTGCTTAAAGGAGTGTAATTTGAGGGTAAAATGTTTTTCTCTAATTGGCAAGACTCATACTTCATTTTTAGGCCCCTTGAAAGGAGGGACCTTACCTCCTCCATCTTTCCGTTGCTACCACAAAACTACCACCACCCCTATTTATGTGTAATGACCTGGCTTTGATTATATTTACAAAATAGTAAATATAATAATTAGCTCTTCTGTCTATGAGACATTGTAACTTTGGATTATCCATATTTCAAGCCAGTTCTGTCAGTGATTAAATGCAAAGTAATTAAATTCATATAACATTTTATCATTTAAAAATTCAGTACATTTTACCATTACAATACCAGGTTATAAAGCTCCGTAGGGCAGGAATTTGTTTCTTTGCTACCCTAACCATAGCACCTAAAACAGTCTCTGGCACATAGTAACCACTCAATATTTGTTGAATGTATCGGTACATTTTTTTAAGACACCATGGAAAAAATAGCCAGTACAGGCTGCCTTTGTTGTATGGGATGAAGACCCCAGATTTAGTATAAAGAAATCTAAATTAGTGTCCCAGCTCTGCTACTAATTTGCTGTGTGATCTCAGGTATGCCACCTAATGTCTCTGTGCCTTTCTTATCTATGAAATTAAGGAATTAGATTTGATGAGTGATAAAGTCCAGCCCATGTTTAAAAGTGCGTAAGTCACTGGTTCATGATTAGCAGCATGCATTTGGGAAGCGGTTGTCTGGAAACAAACTTACAGTTTGTGGCCATGACACCAGTGTTGCCAGCTGGGCCTGTCCAGGCTTGGAACTAAGACATTGGTCTTGGACTACTAAAAATTTGGCTCTAACAAACTAATTAGCAACTTAAAAAATTTTAAAGAGCCTTTCTATACTTTGGCATGACAAGTTGATTTTTAAGAATAAGGAAAGCTAAATCTGAGGCAGAAGAGTCAGACATAGCATAATGACAAAAATAACTGGATTTAAATCCTGGGTCCAAAATTTTCTGAGAGCTCGGCCAAGTAATTTAATCTCCCTATGCCTCAATTTTAGCACCTGTAAATTAGGATAATGATAATTTCTAAAGGAAGTAATTTATTTAAAGTTCCTGGGACATGATAAGCTTTGAAAGCCTTACAGCCAGGCTAATATAAAGGAATTAGATAGGTGAGTGAAAATGAGTTCATGAAAATAAATCTGTGTGTTTGGCTTGAGGCAAACACTGAAAGGTGAAATAGGTGAGCACATGGCTGAGACCAGAGCGCCTGGGTCTGTATTGTGGCACCTCCACTTGCCAGCATTAATAATCCAGTCATTTTCTTAACATCTCTGCATCTAGGTCTTCTCACCTGTAAAATGGTAATAATAAGAGCAATCTGTGTAGTGTGCTTAGAGCAATGCCTGGCATATGGTAAGCCCTCACTAAATGGAGCTGTTCTCATTATGATCCATTAAGTTTATTTGGGGGAGGAGATTAAAAGAGATGTGGAAAGACTGTAAGCCCATTGAATGAAGAAAAACAATGGGAATTCATTAGGGCAAGTAGATTATAATACTCCAGTGGGTGGTGGTGGTTGTTTTTTGAAAACTATTTGTAAATATATTAAACTTTGAGATTTCAGAGAAAAAGGCTGTGCAAATAAATACAAGATGTTGAGGAATCCCACTTAAGTCAGTGACAATAACTATCCAATTGAATACAAAATAATAAAATATCCTATTTAATAATCTTGGGTGATGAACCTTCCTTTTTTTTTTCTTCTTAATCCTCAGTGATATGTTTTTATTGATTTTGACAGAGAGAGAGAGAGAGATGTGAGAGAGAAACATCGAGTGGCTGCCTCCCACAAACACCCCAACTGGGGGGTCGAACCTGCAACCTGGATGGATATGTGCCCTGACCGGGAATCGAACCCACAACCTTTTGGCGTACAGAACAATGCTCCAACAACTGAGCCACCCGGCCAGGGCAGAACCTCCCTTTTAACCGAGAAACGTGCCCAAGGGAAAAGTCTTTTAGTCTCCTGCCACATGGATTAAAAGGTATTGCTAAGTAGTGCTCTAAAAGTTGTCAATCGATTGTCCATCTTTTTGATGGCACAGCTGTGACATCACAGTGCTGTTCACCTGGGAGCCCCGAACCATCCTGTCTGTAGAGAAGTGAGTTGGCGTGTGGGGCAGGACCTCATAATTTCAGCACAGAGAGTTCTTTAGCCAGACAGAAGCTGCAAAGCTGCCGCAGACGGACTGGGATAAAGGACAGGATGTAAAAGGAAAGAACACAGATCAAATAAACAAAGGCAATTAAGTGGAGGCTGAGTTCCCAACAAGCACTACACATTTTAAAAGGTGCTTTGTTTTTGGTGAGCTTTAAAGAGCCATGAAATAAACATATATTTCATGATTGTGAAGCCTTTTTCCATTGATTGGAAAAGTTTTCATTATATCTGAGGACATATTACCTCATTTTTAAAAAAGCACATGCAGATGTTCAGAATAGGCCACAGCCGATTCTTTCAAGCAGATTAGGGTAGAAGGGACTTCTTAGCAGAAAGTTTCCTCCCTTAGAATTGTTGTTTGTTACACGTTACCGTTATTTAGACTTAGCAAATAAGTGCTGCTTTAAAATATAAATATCCCTCAGAAGGGTGAGGTGTCTCCATTAGTCACACCTTAGAGAAAACTGCTTTCATTACTGACTTTCTTCCCTGACTGAGGATTTGACCTTGAAGGCAGTGGAGTCTGAAATGGAAGATGAATATTAAATTAAATTAGAAATTAAATTAAATAAAAAGCAGAGGGACTTCTGAGATTGGTTGGCTCGAAAAAGGAACTTTGGTCAGATGCTCAAAAAGGAGAAGACATTAGGACATGTGAGGAGAACAGAGAATGGATTAATTTAGTTTGCAGTTATATTAGGATCTTCAGAAGTCGATAGTCCAATTCCAAGACCCTGTATACAATGCTTAAGCTGTAAGGTGATGCTTGAAGCGCTTGCTAGAGTTTGTGCCAGTTCATTACGGCGAGGTGAAGGTTAGTGTCCGCGTAATTAGCGGGCCCAGGGCATAATGAAAATGCAGGTTGCTTGTTCCAAAAGCAGGGCAAAAGTTTTATTAAATGTATTAAAATATAAGACTGTTTTCTTTCTTCTGCCGTTTCTCTCTCAACTTATAATGTTTTTTATTTACTATTTAATGTAGTTCTAAACAAAGAAAAAACAAAAGTTTAATTTATTAGCATGAATTTTACTCTTCATGTTTATATTGTACAGTGTAAACCTAGGGTGTCTCAAAAAATGTATACACAATTGGAATGATTATAAAGTCAGTGTTTATTAATATACAGTTCATTTTTTAAATTTAAAGGAATTTACAGAAATGAATAATTTTTTGTCAACACCTGTTTTCCAACTGATAACTGCTGATGACGCAAAGCAACAGAATCTCAAACATCAAGAATCATTTCATTCGGTATTTGTACGCCTTCAATTTGTCAAATGTTGCCGGTTTTGTACCATAGACTTTATCTTTTGTATATCCCCATTAAAAAGTCTAGGGGATAAAGTTTCTTTGTTCAAAGCTTAGTCTGGCTTCACCCATTATTTCAAATCAGTTAAACCTGAAAAGGAGTGAAAATTAAGTGAGTTGTCAGCTGTTAAATAATTATAAAAGTAGTGTTTGTACTTCAACTGTATTTTTAAACTTCCAGTAGTGTTTTAGGATGAAATGCCTTTGTTCAAAGCTTTGTCTGGCTGAAAAGAAAGAAACATCAATTGAGATCAGCTGTTAAATTGTGTATGCATGTTTTTGGGACACCCTGTGTCAGAATATTTAAGTTCTAATCAGAATCACCAGAACTATGCAATTTGTATTTAATAAATCATGTGTATGTAAGTCATTCTTACCAGAACAGTGGGAACACTACATAAAACTTACCCGACCATTTTTATTTCACGTCTCGATACATGTACACCCTACCAGCCGTCTCTCCCATGGGCTTACTGATGAGTAAGGAAGGGTTGACCAAAAAGAAATATGGATTGGCCTTTTTCTTTCTCTGTCACCATTTTCAGCGTAAAGCATATTGCTTAAATGAGAAGAGCAGCAGAACTCTGTTAATTCCTACCCTTTCAACACCGGATCATTTTTGTGAGCAACCCAAGTCCTTTCCTGTGTGACCTTTCCGAAAGGATAGTCCTAGTTCAGCATAAAGCAAGTGATGTGAGGATGTGTACCTCTCCTGTGCTTTTGGGCCCAGTTAGAAGCCCCGTTTTATCGCCTTCCTGAGAAGGCAGCGTCAATAATTAGGGGTAATGGTTTGCCGGAGGCCACAGCAGGCCACTAGGGGTGCCCTTGGGAAGGTTATGCCACGTTTGTTGTCCTCTCGTGATGTCAGATGAACCACCCTAGAAAGAACCATATTTTTTACCTCCTTTTCAGTCACAGCTGCTTAGTTGCAGTGCTGCTAAAACAACACACGGAGTAAACACATACAGCTTACAAAATCAAGTGATTGATGCTTGCATTTTATTGCTTTTTAAAGAGGATAATTGTTTAGAGTAGAAAAGTAGATTGTAGAATACCAAGCCTATTTATTATAGTGACATTTTTATGGTTGATTTTATTTCTTGAAAGGCATAAAAATACAGTGTTTTCATCATCCAAGAACCTGCCATGTGAATTTTCTACGAAACTCCCTCCTCACATCATTTAAAATTCTTCTTCAAAATACCTTACGAGGTATCTTTTTGTTTCAGGCTGGTTATTGCATCTAATTACTGCATTTTGTTGTTTCAGAACAGTGGCGCATCACATGCTCGGAGTGATAACGGGTTAAAAAAACTGCCAAGTTTGGATCTTTTCCTGCCTTAGAAGCCAGAAAAATGGAGAATTGATATTCAAAGGTAAAACTGCCTCCTTTTCTTTAAATAACACATCCCTACAGCTTTCTCTTCAGCCATCTTACATGAAACAATTTCTTTCTTTCTTTCTTTTTTTTTTGATAGCATGGTATATTTGAATATAAATATTTCTGGCTTGTAACTCCAGACACATGAACAGGCAGCTGAACTTAAAGACTGTGGTGTTTAACTCCCTAGCTGTCTGTACAGATTCTGGATGAGATGTGCTTTATGTGTTTGACCTTCCTCTTTGTAGTGAATCTGTGTTGGCCGAGCAGGCAAATACATTTTCATGACTATGGACCAAACTGTTGTACTTGAGGTTAAGCAGGGATTTATGAAAATAGATGGCATAGTATCAGCTTTTATTTTTTTTCTTAGAGTGTTGTACAATGTTAATTTATCAGCCCAGACATGCTCAGTGTGATCTACATGTGCTAAGAAGGGCAGTGGAAACGCTGGAGGCAATACTATGATCTGCACTCCTTTTATTTCATTATGTAGCTTTGGGAAGGAAAAAAAGAAGGGTCTTAATGAAGTACGAATCAGGAATGCTACATGTGTGGAGTCAGCTGGAGGGATTGATATTGCTGAGTATTTCAGTAAACTAGCATCGTTGTTTAGGTGGCTTTTCCCTCTTGGTTGTGGATTGCTCCCAGGGGCATTAACAACACCACCTTCTGGGCTATGCTGGCACCGCATGAGGTAGAAAAGCAGAAAGACACTCAGTTGTCACTGAAGGCAAACACTGTAAAGGCCAGGAGAACCGGGTTGGCACAGAATGGTCCGTTTGTGAGCTGTGGTTGAAATCAGAGGTGGGCCAAGGCGGCGTGATGCGGGAAGCCAGAGGCATCTGTCATAGTTCCTTCCACTTTATTTTAAATCGTAAAACAAATTACATATTCCTCCTCAATGAACGACCTCCAAGAGGGAAGTGATTTGTGTTGTAAAGTCATTAAAGAGTGATCTCCAAATGTTGTAGAACCAGAGTGAACTCTGTTTGAAAACTCATTTCTTCATCAATTAATTTTCCATTTCCGACTGAGAAGTATGTCTTGGTCCATGTGCATATTTGAGTCATTATATAATATGATTTGAAGTATGAAGAGAATGTTGGAATACCTACGGATAATATAACGTCTTACCATACCTATACTTATTCACTGTACATTGTTTTACATACAAAAGATGTCTGTGGATACACAAACTTATAATTATCTTTCCTATCCTTAACCCAGCTAGCAGTGTCATTTGTGTGACTTAAATTTGCATGTCAGATCATAATGTCACAGGGATGGTCAGTCAGCACAGTGGATTTAACACGTTAAAGTGAATCAGGGTTGTTGTTTTCGTTTTTGACATAAGGATTATAATAAGGTTTGACATAAGATTAAAATAAAGTCAGGTAAGGGCTTCCTTTGTGTTGTGACCTAGAAGATCATCTGTTCAGAGGAGGAATGTAATCAGACGAACTCTGTAAGGAGACAGGATCAAACTGGGATGAAGAGAATCGCTGACAGTAGAGAGCATCTCAGAACAAACCACATCCTGAGCACAGAATCGAAACCGAGTGAGCAGTCCCAGTTCATTTGAGGCAACAATTTCCCGAATTATCAAAGAAAGAATAAACAGCTGTACCTTCTCACCTAAACAACGCGATCACCTCTAAAGTCTTGCTAAATAAAAGTTCTGGTCATGTCTGCTTTTTGTTCAGAAAATATTCTCTGATTTACCAATTCATCATTGTCCCAAACTTCTTAACAAACATTTAAAACCTGCCACTCATAAGTTTTCTGACTTATTTCTGACTTTTCTTACCGGTGGTCTGGGCCACTGTCTAGTAATGCAAGTTCTGTGATTTGTTTCAAGTCTTCCAAGTGATTTTGATGTATTTTGGTTCTCAAAAATTGATTGGTCTGGAATGAGGCTCAAGAATTTGCACTTCTAACAAGTTCCTGAGTAATGCTGATCTGGCCGGTGCTGAGATCCTACTTTGAGAATCACTAAGTAAAACAAATGACCCAGGTTGGTGCTACAAGTTCTACATTGCAGTTTGAGTCAAAGACTGATGGCAATAGGAGGGCTTACTTGCCAACTTCCCCATTGTGGGAGGTGTACTAGTTTAAGGTCAGAGTCTGAGTCTTCTGCTCAGATACCATCTCAATATCATAAAATCCCCAACAATAAGTTGTTAGATACATTTTATATGTCCTGATGTGTTATAGACTTTTGATGTATAAATACGTGTTGGATAATTGGAAGGGGGCAGGGACAGGAGAGAGAACAGGAGGACAGATGGACAGGTTGGCAGCCAAGGATTGATTTCAACAAGAAACGTAACTTCTTACAAAGAAACTGCTCTGGCATATGCATTAAGGAAAAACTAATTTCCTTCACATGAAAGCCTCCCTATTGTATAAGACCATACTCAATATATAAGACATTTTATTAGTTGGAATAACTCTGTGATTCAGAGCCTCAGTGTCTGGTTATCAGTAGTATTGTGCTCTTTAATAAGCAGAGTCTTTCATAAAGGAATTTCTGCTATTTGATTGAGTACAATGGGGGAAATGTCATTTATATCAAGACAAATTGTACATTTTACTTTATAAAAGAGCCACTGGGTATGTGAAACCAGAAAATCACATGTATTTAATAAATTCCTTTGCAAATGTCTCTTCCTTGAGTTTCAGTTCTGCAGCTGCAGCATAATTTGAATGTTTGTTCATGTTTAGGACAATTGTGCTTTCTGGTTTTTGCCTCCTTGCATTCAGATGTTGCACATTTCCTCTCTGTGTCTTTTATCTGCATGCATCATCCCGCGATTGGCTTGGTAAATTTATCTTATTTTTCTTGCTAAAATAACCGTTCCTGCTGTCTGTTTTCTGCCTACTCTTTGATTTATTCTAGAAATTGGGCTCAATGCCTACTTTTAAAGCTCAGTGTGAAATTTATTTTGTATTTTTCTAAACCAAGTTCCCCATATTTTTTTCTGTTCTGTGTTCTGTAGTAGCATCAACTTCAAAATGCACCCTTGAAAAACCTTATATGTATATCTTAGCATAAATAATAACAATGGATGACAACATGAATCTTGAAAATTTATCTTTAAAAATATTTCATAACACTTTAAACAGTAGGACATTACAGTTTTCATGTCATGTTACAGCATTCCTAATGGTAAGCTTAAAGGAATAGTCCTACTTCCAGTGCTGTTGTTACTTTGATGTATGTTCTTGGCTGGTTCATTAGGCCTCAGTTACCTCCATTAAAAAAGAGAAGAATTTAGGATAAATGCCCTGTGGGATTCATTCATTGCCTTATCTTGCAATCTCAGGATGCATGTCATATAAAATGCTACTTAAAATCAGGCACAAAAGTGTGTGTGTGTTTGTGTGTGTGTGTGTGTGTGTGAGAATCAATCGAGTAATGGCACATATTTGACAATCAAGTTGAAAGAACAGGGTTTTGAATACAAAAAAAAACTGAGTTCAAAATCTAACTCTCACTTATTAACAGCATGAGCTTGGAGAATTTACTGAACTGCTCTATGTACCTTAGTATCTTTATCTGTAAAATGGGGGCAGTGTTAGCATTACCTGCAAGGTTGCCTTAAAGGCCAGAGATAATCTAAAAAATAGCTAGCATACATGCTTAAATGCTGAACATATTTAGTTGTAAAGACCTGTGCGGGCCTCTAAGCTGACGAGAGCGCAAAACTTGGTTTTAGAAGTTAATAGAGATGGTATTCTTATGCTCCAATATAATTCTATAAGGCTAAGAAATCTTTATTTTAGACTTGAAAAGAGGAACACAGTTTAGGAAATGTATCCCAAATTTAAATATTTGAGATTTACAAAACTAATGGGAAAATTGAGCATACTTTTTCATCTATACAGGATATTTGGTTCTGTACACTGCCAGTGATTACACAGAACAAGCAAGGCCCTTTTTTTCAAGAGCAACTCCTTGGTGTCAAAGCATAAAATTTGCAAATTGTATTTTGTCTTCTGGTTTGCTATCTAGACACAGTTTTGGCTGAAATTAAAATAAAGATTCTTTAAGACAAAGGTTTAGCCTGAATAAATATTCATATACTCTTTACATCTGATTTTAGTAAGTTCAAAGGTATTCCTTTCTCTCTTGTCCTCTAAAAGCCTATTTTTATAGCCAGTTTGCCTGATGCAGCCTTATACCCACAGGCAAAAGAAATCAAATTTTCGTCAATAGATGATTCATTTGCTACAGAATCCATGCAAATGATGAATTTTTCCTGCTCCTTTTATTTGTTTTTGAGGTTGAATTGTCACTTTGTTCTTGGTTAACCCCAGCACTCTCTCAGCAGAAATTCAGAGCTGCTTATTTAACAGGAATAGATAAAATAAAGTTTTGGGAAAATATTTCATCATTCTTAGCAGAGGATTTAATCCTGTTGGTATTTTAAAAATTTTAATATTCTATAAGTTCTCTGCAAGTTAATGTGTTTTAAGGTATAGCTTACTATTTTACTCTTATTTTTTATGTCAGAAATAATTTAGAAGCTAAGAACAACCAGTGCTGTTTGAGTACCGTGATTATTTCAGACATCTGTAAGATAACTAAAATCTAATTGTGGAATGTTGTATTTATTTGTCATGTCTCAGAGACATATCACTGTCAAAATGAAAATCATACTGATGAGGCTGTTTCAAGCCCTAAGGAGACACACACACACACACACAGTGCATGGTGGTAGTGGTGGTAGTGAAATTGTTTACTTAGACAACTCAGTCCTTCACAGTAGCATAGTTATTTCTACATAGACCAATTCTAACTGAAATTGTCATTTTTTATGAAAGGACCTATTAAATACTCTCTGAAAGAAACACAAATATTCTTTGCTGTATGATAGAATAACTTCTTTATAAAATAGTATAATCGGGTTTATTACAACTCACATTTTTTTGAGTATTTGTTGACACTGTAAGAATACCCAAGTACAGTTTACTAGGTAGTAAAAAGAT